CCCCCTCCCTCCCTCGCTGCCTTGCTCCCTCCCGGGCTGCGGCTGCTGCAACGGGGGCGGCGGCAGCGGCGGCGGCGGGAGCAGTCCGGAGACCGGCGTCGAGGTGAGGCTGGGACTAAGGCTTGCGGGTAGGAGTGGACCGACAGACGGCTGACTGACGCTGGGCGGGTTGCACCGGAATGCCAGGCGTGCCACGGCCCACCGAGGGCGAGGGAATCCCTAGGAGAAGGGCTGAAAAGGGGTTCGGAGGAGATGCCCATATCTCCCAGGGAGGGGTAGGGGTGTCTGCGCCCCAAACGCGCAGCAAAAAAACCTGCACCACCTGAGTACCCAGGGAGGAGGTGAGGATGCAGAGGGAGTGGAATGGAGTATGGGGTCCTCTGCTCAGCCTGTTGTCAAAATGTCCGGGTGTTTCCACAGCTTGTTGATTTTGAGGGTGCTGGAGCATCTGCTGGGATCTGTGCATCCATCTGGGAGCTTGTTGGGTGGACCCAGGAAGAGACTCTGGGGAGGGTCCGGTTTACCAAAGGGTTAATCTTCCCAGGGCTTTCCAAGAATTAAAACTGAATAGAGCACTCTTCCCCTGGTATGTCCCACCCTAAAGCAAAGGAAACCCCAACTTTTCTTGTTCTCCTCAGAGGCAAGGCAAGGCTGGCCCTGAGAAGGAACGAAGCCCTCTTGGTCTTGCAGTGCTACGGGCCCCTCTTCCCTCCCTATACTAAGCCTTCTCCTCCTCTTCCAGGATTTGCTGCTGTCTCGGCTCTTCCATCCTCCCCACAGGGGCTCTCCCCCCTCTCCCCTCAAGATGGCAGCTAGCAGCTCTGAGGTCTCTGAGATCAAGGGGGTCGAGGAGAGTCCCAAGACCCAGGGAGAAGGGTTTGGCCATTCTGAAGCTGCAACTGGCCCTCTCCAGGTCTCAGACCAGCCAGAAGCCCCGCAGCCAGTCCCAGACACCACTGTGGCCCCAATGGACTCGGGGTCCAAGGCTGGGCTGGCTCCAGACACCACAGAGACCCTTGCTAGGGCCCCAGAAACAGCCCAAGCTACAGATCTTGGCTCAAGCCCAGGAGAGGAATCCAAAGCCAGCTCCAGCCCCAAAAAAGCATGCCAAGAGCCAGCGTCCAAACCAGAAGGGAACAAAGAGACCACTGCAGACCAGGGGTCTGAGCTGGAGCCTACAGCACCACCTGAGCCGGCCCCAGAATCTGCTCCCCAGCCAGCCCCCCAGCCAGACCCCCAGCCAGACCCCCAGCCAGACTCCCAGCCAGACCCTCAGCCCATTCCCAATCCAGCCCTTCAGCCACAGCTCCCTACCCAGGAGGACCCCACCCCTGAGGTGGTGACGGAGAGTGTGGGAGAAAAGCAGGAGAATGGGGCAGTGGTCCCCCTGCAGGCTGGCGATGGGGAAGAGGGCCCAGCCCCCCAACCTCATGTGTCACCCTCAACCAAAACCTCTTCGGCCAACGGGGCTCCCCCCCGAGTGCTGCAGCAGCTGGTTGAGGAGGACCGTCTAGGAAGGGCTCACAGTGGGCATCCAGGATCTCCCCGAGGTAGTCTGAGCCGCCACCCCAGCTCCCAGCTGGCAGGGCCTGGGGTGGAGGGGGGCGAAGGCACCCAGAAACCTCGGGACTACATCATCCTTGCCATCCTGTCCTGCTTCTGCCCCATGTGGCCTGTCAACATCGTGGCCTTCGCTTATGCCGTCATGGTGAGCCCCATGGGACCCTGGCCCAGGCCTGCTATGGCTCCCAGCTTCTTGCCAGCACTGGCACAGAGCCCCAGAAGTAACCATGCCTTCCCTCCCCTCTGCATGGATCTTACTTCCCCAATTACAGGGCCTTTGCTTGCATCTCCCCAGCACCTCTGAGCCACCACTGCCTGACCCTTTTGGGTGGGAGGGATGTGGAGGCACATGTTCCCCACAGCCTTGCTGATCTGTGCTCTCCTCCCCTGCCTCTCCCATCCTCCTTCCTCCCTCACTGTCCATGGGGCTGGCCTCTCTCCTCTGGATGACTCTTTCACCTGATCTTTGCTGGGCTGGTTTCTCCTGACCGTGGTACCTCGTTCCCTCACCCTAACCCCAGTCACGGAACAGCCTGCAGCAGGGGGACGTGGATGGGGCCCAGCGTCTGGGCCGTGTGGCCAAGCTCTTAAGCATCGTGGCACTGGTAGGGGGGGTCCTCATCATCATCGCCTCCTGCGTCATCAACTTAGGCGGTGAGTGGGGGTCTGGGACAGGTAGGGGAGGAATGGAAGGGTTGACAAGGGCAGCTTTACTAACCCCTGCCCCTGCTCTCTCCTGTCTGTTCTCCCTACTTCTCCTTTGTCTCTCCTTGTCTCCCTCTTTCCCCCCTCCCCTGTCTCTGTCTGTCCTTCCCTCTCCTTCCCACAGTGTATAAGTGAGGGGCTCTGCCCTGCATTCCAAGACTTTTCTTCCTGTTGGGAGCTGCCTTGGGTCCATCCCTCCCCTGGGGGGAGCCCAATTGATGGCCCTGGCCCCCACCCCTAGGGACCAAGGGAGCCTGAGCGACCTTGTTTACAGCTTCTTTCCTGCTCCTGCATCCTGCCAGGCTCCTCTGCCAACCGTAGGCTTCCCTTCTCCCTGCACTGTCTCCAATCTCCCTGCACTTCTGCCTGCGTCTCCTCTTGCCTCTTGATCTCCCTCTTCCTGCACTTCTGGAACCTGATGGCCCTGGCCCCCACCCCTAGGGACCAAGGGAGCCTGAGCGACCTTGTTTACAGCTTCTTTCCTGCTCCTGCATCCTGCCAGGCTCCTCTGCCAACCGTAGGCTTCCCTTCTCCCTGCACTGTCTCCAATCTCCCTGCACTTCTGCCTGCGTCTCCTCTTGCCTCTTGATCTCCCTCTTCCTGCACTTCTGGAACCTTCCTGCACTATGGAAACCTCCCTGAGCAACTCCCAAACACTTTCCCTCCCTGCATCTCTCCCACCCTCCTTGCACTCCTTCCAGCTGCCAGAATTCTGACTGTCCTTCCTGGCCTCCCTCTCCCAACCTTCACTGTCTCAGCATCTTCCTCATTTCCTTTCTTCCTTCCCTTGTCATCTCCCCTTCTCCACATACCTCACTCTGGTCCTCTTCTTGCCTCATCTCCCTTTACCATCACTTACTCCACCTCCCTGCCACCTTTTATTCTGCAAAAACTCCAGCACTTAGATCAGGCTGGGGGAGGGGAGCAGGGTCGGGAGAGGGCGCCGTAGCCCTGGGCTCCGACTGTTCTCTGCTGGGACTACCAGGCCCTGACGCCCCGCTAGGAGCCTTGAGATCGAAAAGCTGGCAAGCCAGGCCTCCTGTGGGGACTTCTGCTAGGGTGGGGAGCACTAGTTCCAAACAGGTACAGGGCAGAAGGGAGGGGCGCAGCAGTTGACCCACCCATCTGAGATTTTTAATCCAGAGTTTCTTTCTTGAAGGTGTTGGGGCTCAGGTCGTTCACGTGCTTTGTAACGAAAGAATCCAAAAAATAGGACCAAAGCTCCCAGCTGCTGGGAGCGAGGGAGGGACAGGGAGCTCTATAATTATTTTCTAAGTGGACTAGGGAGGTTTGTTGCACGCGACAGCAGGCTGAGGAGGCGGGGACCGAGCTACGACACTGTTCGGAGTTGTCGGGTTGTTTTCTAAAAAAAGCCTTGGGGGGGGAACCTAAAATTCTATATAAAAAAAAAAAGTATAAAGAAAACTAATTCTCCCTTTTTGTATGCCGGATGCTGCATGAGTCTGAAACACCAATAAACGGAGACTGCATGATATTTGCCTCCAATCTCAGTTGGTCCCTGCGTCGGTCCTGCCGGGTCAATGGTACTACCTCTAGTCGCCAGATCCCGGGTGGGGGTGGGGGTTGGGTGTGCGCATGCGCCGTCCCAGTAGCCATCTTTACTATGGGCCGAAGCCTGTTGTGCCTGAGCGCCTAACTGCGCATGTGCAAGCCTTCCCCGCTTTCCTCTTCCAAGTAACTTTGACTAGAGCGAAGCCTCCCGCGCCATTTCTGTGCGCCTGCGTACTGTGACCTCGCGCAGCCCGGGAGGCGGGTCCTACCTCCAGGTGCGTACGGCGGCTCAGTTGATCAGTTGACGCAACCCCGAACTGCGAGGTTTGTGTAGTGTCGCGTCCAGGTGTGGAGAGGCGGGGTGAGAAGGCAAGAAGAGCAGTCTTTGCCTCGGGAAGTGGTTTTTGGGGCCCCAGGGAACGTCGGAATACCAGATCTTGATCTGCGGGGCGGGATCCTTGGAAGGGACTCAGCACCTCCTGTTGGGGAAGCGCCATCTGGCAGCGGAAGAGAGACATTTAGGCACCCCAGGAAAGCCCGACCCCTTGGGGGTAGACCCTAGCTTAGTACTCCAGCATCTTCTGTTACTGTAAGGCTCCTTCTCTAGGGGCCTATGTCCCTTACCCGGAGTCATGGAGACATTTCGGCCACCACCACGATGCCACTGTCTGAAGAAGGGGAAGTGACCTCTGGTCTCCAGGCTCTAGCCGTGGAGGATACCGGAGGCCCCTCTGTCTTGGCCAGTAAGGCCCAGGCAGAGGGGGAAGGAGGCGGGGAGGAAGCCGAGCGTGAGGGGTCCGGGACCGACGAGGCACAGGAAGCCCCCAGCGCTTCGGGGGAAGAGCATGCAGAGGGAGAATCCGAGGACTGGTGCGTGCCCTGCAGCGATGAGGAGGTGGAGCTGCCCGCGGATGGGCAGTCCTGGATGCCCCCTCCCTCCGAAATCCTCCGGCTCTATGAATTGCTGGCTGCCCACGGGACCTTGGAGCTTCAAGCCGAGATCCTGCCTCGTAGGCCGCCCACGCCTGAGGCCCAGAGTGAAGAGGAGAGATCAGACGAGGAGCCAGAGGCCAAAGAAGAGGAAGAGGAAAAGTGAGATCACACCCCTACACCTTGTCCTTGGGCTAGTCCTCTGATGCCCAAGGAAAATGGGGGGGGGGTGGCAAATCGCAGTATGGAAGGTGGAGTGCAGCGATGAGGAGGTGGAGCTGCCCGCGGATGGGCAGTCCTGGATGCCCCCTCCCTCCGAAATCCTCCGGCTCTATGAATTGCTGGCTGCCCACGGGACCTTGGAGCTTCAAGCCGAGATCCTGCCTCGTAGGCCGCCCACGCCTGAGGCCCAGAGTGAAGAGGAGAGATCAGACGAGGAGCCAGAGGCCAAAGAAGAGGAAGAGGAAAAGTGAGATCACACCCCTACACCTTGTCCTTGGGCTAGTCCTCTGATGCCCAAGGAAAATGGGGGGGGGGGTGCAAATCAGCAGTATGGAAGGTGGAGGGGAGGGAAAAGAGTAGGAGAGGAGAATTCTGCAGCCTGAGGAGAGGCATGCCTGTGGGTGTTTGGTAAAGCTACTCTTACCTTTTCTCTCCTCACCTGTCTCAGACCGCACATGCCTACCGAATTTGACTTTGATGATGAGCCAATGACTCCCAAGGACTCTCTAATTGACCGAAGACGCACACCAGGTACAGACAAGGGCAGAGAGTTGGGGGGAGGTAAAGGGCCTCTGCTCTCAGTTACCCTAAATGTCTCCATCTCTGTGGTGTAGGTTAATAGCCTGTCTTTAAAAATCATCACAGGGACCAGCAGTTGGCATAATGGCTATGTCGCTGGACTCCCATGTAGTCGACCGCGGTTTGAGTCCCGGACCTGGTGTCTTAAACTCACGCCAGACGCATGTGCATGCGTGCCCAAGATCCCGAGAGGAGAAGAGATTGCAGTGTGGCCATCACCTCTGGGGGGTGATTTCTCGCTGTCTCTCTGTCTCTCTCTCTGCCTTTCTGGCAAGCGCACACGCGCTATAGCAAAAACCACTCAAAAAAAAAAAAAATCACAGTTAATTCTGGCATGTCCCCCATTCCTTTTGTCATCAGGGAAGTCCAAACTCTCAGGGTGATTCCTTATTACCTAGAGTCATATCCCTGAACTACTGTGTACATCACCTAATCTGACCCAGTTTCCTACCCCACATGCCCTCTTAGAATTTACCCTTGGAGGCTTTCTTAACTTCCATTTCCCTTACCAGAACATGCAAGTCCCACCTTGCTCTGCCTCCAGGGCATTTCCAACTCTGTTCGACACTTGCCACCTTCAGCTCCACCTTCATATGAACCACTGTCTTTCTTGTGTGGGTAGTTGGCGGTATCTCCTAACTGGTCTCCCTGCTTCCAGTCCCAGTGATTGCAGTGGTATCTTAAAAAGAAAGCATGTGACTCTTCAAATCCCCCAAAGGATTCTATCACTGGGGGAAGAGCATGTTGAGGGAGAATCCCAGCCCTGTTTCCCACATTCTTTTTTGAACAGACCTCTCTATTCCTGCCCTGAAGCCTTTGCACCTTCTCTTTCCTCACCCAATATGCTGCCCCTGGTCTTCACATTACAGGTGCCTTCTCATAAGTCAAGACTTCCAGTGCCTACCCTATATGCAGCCCAATCCCAAACCTCAGAACCGCCATGACAGAGGCCTAGAAACCTGGGTGTTTGGCTCCCCAGGGAGGCGTAAGATCCAGGCAGGTCTGGCACACACTGCCTCAAGCCCTTCCACGTTTCCTACCTTCTTCAGGAAGCTCAGCCCGGAGCCAGAAACGGGAGGCCCGCCTGGACAAGGTCCTCTCAGACATGAAGAGACACAAGAAGCTGGAAGAGCAGATCCTTCGGACTGGGAGGGACCTCTTCAGCCTGGACTCAGAGGATCCCGGCCCCAACAGCCCCCCACTCCGGTCCTCAGGGAGTAGTCTCTTCCCCCGACAGCGAAAGTACTGACTCCTGCCATTGCTGCCTCTAGGATGCAGAGACTGTCGGGCAGGGCCTGGGCCCTGCTCTCCTAACCTGGAATCTGGAAAACGGGAGAGAAAGAGCAATCCCAGGCTCCCGTTGCAGCACCTTGCAGGAAGGGGGGAGTGTGTGCTCATACGTGTGTGTGTTTTCTGTAGAGCATCTATTTGGAGACCAACGCTGAATTTTCCAAGTAAAAATAAAAGATGTAGCATTATAGTCTCTTAAGAGGTGGGGCTGCAGCTGGTGCCTAAACAATTGGCCATATGGGAGATGAGAGACAGATTTGTATTTGCCCGGATTGGACAATTACAGCCAGATGGGGCAGAGGTGAACCTGGGCAGCACTTGTCACTTCCACCTCAGGTCCTCTGACCCTGCACAGCCTCATCCCAGTGCGCTACAGGAAAAGTGCTGACTCCTGCCATTGCTGCCTCTAGGATGCAGAGACTGTCGGGCAGGGCCTGGGCCCTGCTCTCCTAACCTGGAATCTGGAAAACGGGAGAGAAAGAGCAATCCCAGGCTCCCGTTGCAGCACCTTGCAGGAAGGGGGGAGTGTGTGCTCATACGTGTGTGTGTTTTCTGTAGAGCATCTATTTGGAGACCAACGCTGAATTTTCCAAGTAAAAATAAAAGATGTAGCATTATAGTCTCTTAAGAGGTGGGGCTGCAGCTGGTGCCTAAACAATTGGCCATATGGGAGATGAGAGACAGATTTGTATTTGCCCGGATTGGACAATTACAGCCAGATGGGGCAGAGGTGAACCTGGGCAGCACTTGTCACTTCCACCTCAGGTCCTCTGACCCTGCACAGCCTCATCCCAGTGCTGCCAGCTGGCTCTGAGGCAGAAATTCCTGAGTGCAGAATCACTCAGCTGCAGGCACTGAATCACTGCAAACACTTCAGCTGCAGGGTGAAGAGGTTCACAGGAGAAATTGAGAGCCAGTTGCCAGGGCCCTTTAAATACCCAAGCCCCACCCCTGGGCCGGCCTATCCCCGCCCTGCCCTGCCGGGAAGTGATCCCCAAGGCTGGGTGAGGGAGTTTCCTGGTCTGAGGAGTCTCACAGCCAGCTACACTTCTAGATGTAAGTACCTCATATCGAACCCCAAACCTAAATCCGTGGCGGGAGGTCTTTGTGCCCCTCCAGGCTCTGTCCCTCCCTGTCCTGCTCTCTAGGGCCTTGCTTCTGCTTGGGTAAGGAAGACTTCTTACTATGAAAGGGGGATGGAAGGTGGGCAGAGGCTTTGGTTTGGGAGGTTTTCCTCTCACTGGAGTTGCTAGGTCAACTTCCCTATGCCCTTCCCCCCACCTCCATCTCCAGCTTGTGCGAATTAAGGGGCCCACTTAGGAAGTAAGGTGGAACCCAGGATGAGGGTTCCCTTGACACTCCATTAGAATGGTCTTTTCTGTGCTCACCTGTTTCCTCTTCCTGGGGATCAGGCTTCGGCCTGTCCCCTTGAGCTTTTAGAATGTACCTTGTCCCCACTGAGACCCCTCAACTCTTATCAGTGAGACCTTTCTGCTGCCCCATTTAAGCCTCGACCAACTGTGGGCCTTGGCAGAGCCTCTGAGGAATCATTAGCAGCATGATCTTAGGCATGACTTCCAGGAGGCACGTAGTTCCTTTCTTTTAGAGAAGAGAAAGTAAAAAGCCGGAAGCTGGGTTGAATCTACCAGCCTGTGATTCTGCAGATCTGAGAGCTGTGTCCCTCCAGTGAAGCACCTGGGTGTGAAGTGGTAGTTGAGGTGCACGTCCTCTGTGTTCCCTGCTCCCTGCCTGGTGGGCCCCTGGGTTATGTGGGAAAAGTAGCCTTCATGTGCTGCGCGAGGTGGTTCTCCCCAGAAACTCTTGTTCCACCCTTGGCACACAGGGCATTTGGCCTGCTCTGGGGTGGGGCACTTGAGGCAGGTCAGATCTCTGTAGCCATGAGCAGGTAGAGTAGCCTGCCCTGCCCTGCCCTGCCCTGCCTTGAGCAGATGGCCCAGGGACAACCCTAGGGTGCCAAGGTAGCTGGGTACTCAGGCCTTGTTGGGTACTGTCCTGGGGAGCAGATGCTGGCACTAGCCCAGATTGCAGAAATACTCACCTTTGGACTGTCATCAACACTGTCCTCCCAGGCAGTGACCAGCCCCACCCAGTTCCTTAAGTACTTATAGACTTAGCAACATTTTCTCTCTTCCAGGAGAGTGAGACAGGCACCCCCAACAGGGCCCTCACACCATGATCACCTCTAGTCTCAGCCAGTCAGGACCACGTGCACGTGCGCTTGGCATGCTAAGGGAGAGACAGACAAGGACCCTTCTCATGTGGGTGTTACCACTGTGTCACTGCCTGGCCACTAGGTCTAAAATCTTACCAATACTTTTGCCTCACTGCCTTGTGGTTTGGGAGTCTGCAGTCATATTACCCAGGGTGGAATTCTGGCTTCATCCTTTGATAACTGATCTTGAACAAGTCACTTAACTTCCAGGTTCTTGTGAAATTGAAACGTGCCAATGCCTGGCATGGAATCAGTTCATAGGAGGTAGGAACTGTTATTTGGGAGGCACTCATCTGAAGTACAAGTTCCAGAATCTTTCTTAGAAGCCTTGACTCAGGGGGCTGGACTCCCACATAGCAGACCACGGTTCGAGTCCCAGACCTGGTGGCTTGCTTTCACACTTTCCCTTTCTCTCTCTTGCTCTGTCCCTCTCTGGTCAAATTAAAAATAAACAAATAAAGTTAAACAAAATAATTAAAAAAAAAAAAAAAGAACTCCTACAGTTAACTGTAGTTTTTTTTTTTTTAAAAAAAAAAAAAGGGAGCAGCTGCCTTGCCTCTGTTCTGGGAAACAGCATGGACAGGATAGAGTGTCCCAGTCAAGTCCACTATTGGGCGAGCTTAGAAAACACTGTTCTATGACAATTGGCTCCTGGGCCAATTTCTTTCTTTTCTTTTTTTTAAAGAATTATTTATTATTTTTTAATTTGACCAGAGAGGGGCAGAGAGAAAGCCATCAGGTCTGGGACTCGAACTGCCATTAGCCATGTGAGAATCTAGTGCCTTAATTACTCCAGTTGCCAGCCCCTCCTGGGTCATTTCTAATGGAGGCCATCTTATCTTAGTGATTGCCATTGGCAGCCTCTGGGAGGTAGGACAAAGTCCTAGGCTGGCCCCAACCCTGGTAAAGTCACCAAACTGCTCCCGTCCCATGGGCTGGAGCTCAGGCAAGATTTCCTTAGGGATGCTGAACAGTTCAAGTAGCACCACTGCTTGGGGCTGGAAGAAGCAAAACTCTTAAAAGTTTCTAAGACTTGCAGGGGCCGGCAGGTGGAATGATGGTTAACAGTGCTGGACCCCCACAGAGCTGACCCTGTTCAAGTCCCAGACCTCGTGGCTTCCTTTCTCACTTTCTTTGTCTCTCAATCTCTGATCACACTGGAAAATAATGATAAAGTTAAATAAAATTATTCTTTTTAAAAAAATTTTTAAAACTTGCTGCTAAAGTGATGGAGAATGTCTCAATTTCCATTCATTGTCCTCTAGAGGAAGTAGTAGTTTTAAAAAATAGTTTCAACCCAGAAGTGGCCTAGTGAAAACTGGTGCTCGGGCTCTCCTGGGTCATGTGACTTATTTTCTAAACAAAGTAGAATGTTGAACTTGAGATCAGGGAAGGAAAGGTCTGAAGATGAGTCCTTGTTTATACTGAATTTGACATGCCTTTTCCTAGACCTAGAGTTGATAGAGTTCTAAAGGCAAAGTTGGGTTGCCACCCTCACCTCCAACTTCAGGCCTGCCTGGACCAGGAACTCTGGGGTAGAAAACCAAAGAGGGCTGTTTGTACCTGGGATAGGGGAGGGGGCTGGAGAAGAATAAATATGAATAAGTTCTCTGCCTCAGGGAGTAGTTGTAATTTGGCCTATTATCCAGCTCCTCCAGTGCATTTGAGACATCCTCCCTTCTCCGGTACCCTTTATTTCAGAGAGCAATCACTTTTATTCCCCCTCACAGGAGAGGAAGACTCGGGTTAGTTCATGGCCCGAGATCATGCTGGGGGGTGGCAAGCTGCTGAATTGACATCCCCCGCCCCCTGTTGTACATTGGAGTCCATGGGAGTTGTTCATCTTTTAAAACTAGCAGTGCTGGGACCAGCAGATGGCGTAGTGGTTGTGTCACTGAACTCCCACGTAGTTGATCTGGTTCAAGTCCCGGACCCAGTGGCTTGAAACTACGTGTGTGTGCCTGCCGAAGATCCCGAAAGAAGGGATTGTGGAGTGGCCATCCTCCACCCATTCCAGGGGTTGATTTCTCATTTTCTGTCTCTTTTTGTCTTTCTGTCTCTCTGGAGAGCACAGGTGCCCTATAGCAAAAATCTCTTAAAAAAAAAAAAAAAAAAAAGGCTAGCAATGCTTGGGCCCTACCCAAGACCAATTAAGTCAGAATCACCAGAGACTGGTGGCTTTGAAAGGTCTCCAGGTGACTCTGATGTCCAGCCTGGGTTGAGAGGCTGCTTTGAACCCAAGCTCCTCATAGTTAATGTGGGCCCAGATTGCTGGGGATCTAGTTAAAATGTAGATTGATGGAGCAGGTCTAGGGGAGGGAGCTGCTCCCTACAGACCACGTACAGTGTGATTGCTTTGGTATTTGGTGTTCACAGTTCACAGTGTCGGTGTCAGCAAGTGGTGTGGTGGTTGAGGCTACACTCTCATGTGGCTGACTGTGGTTCAAGTCCCGGACCTGGCAGCTTGAAATTCATGCTGGGCGCATGTACGTGCATGCCCACCCAAAATCCAAAGAGAATGGAGGAGAAGGGATTGCGGTTTGGCCATCCCTTTAAAGGGGTGATTTCTCACTTTCTTCTCTCTCTTTCTCCAGTGAATGCACACACCCTAAAGCAAAACTATCAAGAGGCTAGCAGGTGGTGTGGTGGTTAAGGGCGTTGGACTCCCACATGGCTGACCATGATTCAAGTCCCAGACCTGGCGGCTTGCTTTATCACTTTCCTTTTCTCTCTTTCACTCCATCCCTCTCTGGGCAAATTAAAATAAATTAGTAAATACATTAATTAAATTATTATTTTTAAAAACTCTAAAAAAAATAAAAGATTTGCAGTGTCAGCCACTTCGAATGGACCCTGAAAAGCATAAAAATTAGTGACTTTATTTTCTTTATTTTTTTGAGAGGTTTTTGCTATAGGAGGCATGTGCTCGCCAGAAAGAGACAGAGAGTGAGAAATCACCCCCCAGGGGGATGACCATGCCACAATCCCTTCTCCTCCATTCTCCTCTCTGGATCTTGGGCATGTACGCATACGTGCCTGGCATGAGTTTAAGCCACCGGGTCCGTGACTCCAGCGACATAGCCATTATGTTAACTACTAGTCCCAAAATTAGTGACTTTATATATCATTTTTTTTGCTATCATATAAGTTTCACTTTGAATTGAGACTGAGGCTGGGGCCAGCAAGGTGATGTGAAGGTTAAGGCAGCTGGATCTCAAATGGCCGACTGCATTGTTCAAGTCCCAGATATGGCAGCTTGAAAAATATGCTGGAGGACAGCAGCAGGTGGTGTAGTGGTTGGGGCTCTGGATTCCCATACAACCAACTGGTTCAAATCCTGCACATGGTGGCTTGCTTTCTCACTTTCTCTGCTGAATGCACATACCCTATAGAAATTTTTAAAATAATAACAAACTTTTCTTAAAAAGACGCTGGGTGTCCATGGCCAAAATCCTAAGAGAATGGAAGAGAAGTGATTGAGAGGTGGCCATGCCCCTGGGAGGTGATTTCTCACTTTCCTCTCTCTCTGTTTCTCTGGCAAGTGCACACACACTATAGCAAGTTAAAGAGAGGGAGGTTCCAGCAGATGGCATAGCAGTTACATTGCTGGACTCCCATATAGTCAACCACAGTTTGAGTCCTGGACCCAGCAGCTTGACACATATCAGGTGCATGTGCGTGCATGCCCAAAATCCCCAGAGGAGAATGGGATAAAAGGGATTGCAGTGTGCCCATACAACCTGGGGGGTGACTTCTTGTTTTCTGTGTCTCTGGTGAATGCACATGACCTATAGCAAACATCTTTCAAAAAAGAGCACAAGAGAGATGGGCCCATGGCACCAAAGTTCCAAGACAATGAGGCCATGTGGGAAGGTCTTGAGTTTGCATCCTGAGGTCTCCCTGTGCACACAGGACCCATATGTGCCTGTGATCCTGGCTGGCTGAGGCCAGGGTAGGATTGCAGTGTGAAGACCCTGTTGGGAGTGTCTGTCTCCCTTTCATAGGAGAAATAGATTTTAAAATATATATTTTTTGAGATTTTTGCCATGGGACGCATGTACTCATCAGAGAGAGACAGAGAAGGAAAATGAGAAGTCATCCCCCACGGGGGATGGCCTTGAATTCTGGCTCACACACACGCTTGTGCCTGGTGTGATTTTCAAGCCATCAGGTCTGAGACTTGAACTGCGGTCAGCCATGTGGGAATCCAGCATCTTCACTACACCACCTCATAAATAGACATTTTTTTAAAAGAGTGATTAGCAGGACCAGCAGATGGCATGGAGGTTAAGGTGCTGGACACTCCCACATGGCTGACCACGGTACAAGTCCGTGACCTGGTGGCTTGCTTTCTCACTTTCTCTCTCTCTTTTTAAACTAAAAATAAATGATTGAATAAATAAAATTAAATAATTTTTAAAAAGTGAGTAGGGTGAGGGGCTCCTTTTTTAACTAAAGGATAAGCCCAGCTTTTGCCTGAGAGGCTGTTTTCTTCTCTGCTCATCTCCCCCTTAGGGCTGTGACTCTTGCAGGACCCTCGTGATGTGTGAGGGAGGCGTGATCAGGCAGGACTGGACATGTACCCAGAGAAGAGCTGAGTAGGGGCAGATCTCAGAAGCAAGGACTGAAGGGAGATGGGTGGGTGAGTGGATTTGGAGAGCTCAGATCACACCTGAGGACTGGGCAGGACCTTCCAAAGGTCGATCATTATCTAGCGAGAGCCCTGACGTATTTATTGGAAGTAAAATGCTCCGGCTGTACATGTCATCTGGTAAACCACAAAAGTCTAAATCTGAGACTTGTCATGAATCCCCTGCCTGAGTCAGTTTCCTGGCTCACCTCCGTGGATGGCGAGCACAGAACAACACCTGTTCTGGGTGGCCCAGCTGGTGCTCTAGGTAGAAGTAAGAGCTTTCAGGCATGGTGGGTGGGTGGTCAGAGAGGTAAGACCTGGTCCTGGTCCCGAAGCAAAGGCTGATGGCAAGGGCTCAACCAGCTTGATCGGCCGTGAGGATGACTCTCGCTGAGTCACTGAGCTGGGCCAGGCTCTTGCCCTCCAACTGGGCCCAGCTGGGGCAGCAGATGGTGGAGAGGCCCCGCAGTGGGGGGGAGGAAGATCATCCAACAAGGAGCCAATGGAGGCTCTTCCCAGAGCTTGCTCTCAACCCTGCGTGGCCTTCTAGAGTTCACATCTTCCCTGGGGGGCCTCCGAGCCCTGTCCGCACCTCCGCCTCCAGCCCTGGCCCTTCCTCTTCCCCTATCTGATTTCCTGGCCAGGTTTCTACCCTGCAGCGAACCTGGCAGAGATGCAGCTGAAAGAGGCTTTGCTTGGCTGTCAGATGCCCCCACTTTGCTGTTCTGGCCCCACAGCTGGGGTGACCAAGACTTGCCACCTTCCTGAGCAGTAAACAAGCAAAGGTTAAACCAGAGTGTCAGGTCGGGTAGGGGGCCTTTGGTGCTGGCCACATCCCCAGTCCCTCACTAGACAGGAAAGTTGGATCTTGGGTGCTCTTCCCTCCTCCGCATTAAATCCATCATGCCTACTAAGACCCAAGCTCCATCTGCGTTATGTAGTAACTCGGTCCTCGAAAGGCCAGAGGACATGCTGTGTCTGTTCCCACTTTGTAGATGAAGACAGAGGTACAGAGAGGTCAAAGCATTATCTAAGGCTGGCCATTGCATAAGGGTTAGAGCCGAGATCCAGACAGCCTCCCAGCCTGTGGCCTCTTGGAGTAGCATTTCTAGAACACAGGCCCACATCAGAGCACCTGGGGCGAGGATGCAAATCCGAGCAGGAAGGGGCAATGAAGAGGAAGGAAAGAGACAGTGTAGGAGAGAGTGGGCAGAAAAACAGTCAAATCAGAAAGCTCTCTGTTCTCGTGCAGTAGGAGAGGGAGCTCGTGAACAAAAGAGGGAGCTCTGGCATTAGAAAAGCCACCACCTTACAATTTAAGGCAAAATAGTCTCTCATAAATGAGCAACAGAACAGTATCAAGATGCAATCTCATACAGAGCTGCAGGTTAAAAGGAGGAGCAGAATGACATCCCTCTGATGGAGAAAGGGTACCAGGAAAACGGACGAATACTGTAGCTCCTTTCAGAAGGAGCTTGGACATTAAGGAAACTGAAGAACAAATCAGAGTTGGGAGCCTAGCCAGTCTTGGTCTGAATCTTTGTCCCTAACCATTATACAATGCTGCCTTTTTAAAAAAATTGTCTTTATTTGGACCAGCTGATGCTGTAATGGTTAAGGCAGCTGGATCCCACAAGGTGGACTGCAGAGTTAATAACCTGGACCCGTTGACTTGGAAGACACGCCAAGCACGCGTGTGTGTGTGCAAAATCTGAAAGGAAGGAAAAATGAAAGAAAAGGGATTACAACATTGCCAACCTCATGGGGGTGCTTTCTCACTTTTTTTTTTTTTTTTTTGCCCTCCAGTAAGCACATTAGCAAACTGAAAATTGGAAAAAAAAATTAATTGCTTTTATTTTAAAATGAGATATTGGATCTTTAATTTTTTTAAAAAAGTTCATCTCTTGAACCAGCAGTTGGCGTAATGGCTATGTCACTGGACTCCCATATAGTCGACTGCAGTTCGAGTCCTGGATCCGGTGGCTTAAACTCGCACCTGGCGTGTATTCGTGCGTGCCCAAGATCCAAAGAGAAGAAGAGACGGGATTGCAGTGTGGCCATCCTCCCGGGGGTGGGAGGTGATTTCTTGCTTTCTGTCTCTCTGTCTTTCTAGTGAGCACATACCCCCTATAGTGAAAAAAAAAAAAAAAAAAAAAACAACTCTCCAAAAAATAAAAATTCCTCAGATAATTATTTAACTTTGTATTTATTTCTTTTAATTTAACCACAGAGAGCAAGAGAGAGAGAGAGAAAGTGAGAAAAGCAAGTCACCAGGTCAGGCACTTGAACCGTGGTCGGCCATGTGGGAGTCCAGGGCCCTCAACCAACATGCTACCCGCCGGCCCCAGCTAGCCACTTCTTAAGTGTTCAGTGGAAACTTGGGGCTAACCTACAGTCAGAGCAGATTTAGAATCTCCCCATCAGTGTAGAAAGTTCTGCTGGACTATGATGAGTTTGAGGGATTTGAACAGGAGCCAGGCGGATGACAGAGCATGGATGGCCCAGGGATGCTCTGGAGATGGAGAGTGGTGGGATGTGGCAGGCTATTCAGCTTTTCCTAGTTTTGCCACAAAAGCTTCAAAAATGTCTGGCCAATGTCTCCAAAGACAAGGCTCTGTGTCATCTAGTAAACTCGGTTCCTTTTGACAAAGGGGCATTCCAAAGTCCAAGGGGGCAGACATTCCTGAGTAGGCCAAGTGCTGCCTGAGCCAAGCAGGTTTCAGAAGCAGGTAGGATGGGGGTAGGTAGAAAGCAATAATTTCTTTCCCTTCTTTTTCCTCCCCACCCCAGCCTCTACCCCCATCCCTTCCCCTCCCAACTGCAGCAGAGAGCTGAGGGTGAAAGAGCTAGGGAGGAAAGGCCTAGAATGATTTGTTGTATTTCTCATCCAACTGATTCAATGGGAACAGCAGTTTTGTCAGGGATCCCTTCCGTAAGAGGTAAGCTGAGTCTCAGTAGTTCACCCAAGGACTGGACTCCCACATGACTGACTGTGGTTCGAGTCCTGGATCCTGCAGCTTGAAAATCGCACCAGGCACCCATGTATGCATGCCCAAAATCTCAAGAGGAGACTAGAGAAGGTATTGCAGCATGGCCATCCCCCGGGGATGATTTCTCACTCTACCTCTCTCTGTTTCTCTAGCAAACACATGTGCCCTATGACAAAAACCTAATTTAAAAAAAAAAAAAAAAAGTTAATCCCAGGATTGTTTAAAGCACTGAAACAGGGAGGGATATGGGCAAAGACCATGCAAATACCCTTTGGCTCTGGGCTAACATTTGAACACAGCCGGCCCTAAGGATCCAGCACTGCTGTGAAGGCCGCCTGCCTCTGGAAGAGCCAGAGAGCTCCCAGAACTCAGAAGTCTGGGGCTGGGACAGTTTGATCTAAAACCTTTCCCATGCTACAGCCAGTTTAGGGGGAGGTTGTGGAGAACGAGGGCAAGGAATTGGCAAAACAAAACCCTGGGCTTTGGTTAACTGCGTCAAGCAGTTCCTGGCACAGGTGAGGTGTAATGCACGGTGTTGTCCTGAATGGGAGGAAGAAAGGACGGGCCAGCGGGTGGTGTGGCAAAGACCACCGGATCCCACAGGGCCAACAGCGGTTTCACTCCAGACCCAGTGGCTTGGAAAACACACCGGGAGCATGCGTGTGCATGCTCAGCACCCTGAGAGAAGGGATTGAGGAATGGCCATCCCTCCTGGGGTGCTTTCTCACTTTCTCTCTCCTCCTGTCTGTGTGTGTGTGTGTGTGTGTGTGTGTGTGTGTGTGTGTCTTCGTGTCTCCATAGTAAGCACACACACTTCATAGCAGATTTAAAAAAAAAAAAAAAAAGGAAGAAAGGGAGAGGTGGGCATGGGGACAGGGGACAGGGAAGGTGGGACAGACTGAGCTCAGAAGGGAGGGCCCAGGCTCTCCCACCCACAGCCATTCTCAGGGTCATGCCGGCCTCACCCCACCCCTGTGCTCACCTGTGTCCTCTCCCTGCCTGTCCTGCACTCCACTTAGCCCTGAGCTGCAGTCACCATGGCAACTGAAGAGTCCATCATACGCATCCCCCCGTACCACTACATCCATGTGCTGGATCAGAACAGCAATGTGTCCCGCGTGGAGGTTGGGCCCAAGACCTACATCCGGCAGGACAATGAGAGGTTGGTGTTTGGGGGCCCGTGGGGCACGGGGGGCCTGCTGGTCTGGCTGGCACATTCATCCTCCTCATCCCTGTCCCCAAGTGAGAGTCGCCGAGAAATGGGAAGGTCCTCACATGTCTTCTCACCCTCCAACAGGGTTCTGTTTGCCCCCATGCGCATGGTGACTGTCCCCCCACGCCACTACTGCACGGTGGCCAACCCTGTGTCCCGGGACGCCCAGGGTGCGGTGCTGTTCGACGTCACAGGGCAAGTCCGGCTTCGCCATGCCGACCTAGAGATCCGGCTGGCCCAGGACCCCTTTCCCCTGTACCCTGGGGAAATGCTGGAAAAGGTACCTGCCTCACCGTCCCCAGACTCCTCACCTGTCCTGTCACTTTGTCCTAGGGCTCTGTGCTGCCTTCTGAAGGCACAGCAGGGAGAGCCGGAGGGGCATCTGCCTGCTCTCACAAGGGGCACAAGTGACTCGTTGCCCCCCCGCCACCTCCCCCAACCACCCCTTCCTCCATTCATCCCCCAAACAGACCTGCCCCTCTGAGAACTATTGGCCCATTTCACCAGATCCTGCCGGAAGCTCACAGCTAGGTTGGCACTAAATAATTTCTGCCAACAGTAAGCACATCGTTCACTCAAACGGTGCTAGAAACCAGTACTGTGGGCAGTGACAAAGCAAGAATGGACAAGATGAGGCCCAGGTCAGAAGCCTACGACTTCCACGGGAAGCCATTGCGAGCTCACACGTGTAACCAGGCCTTGTCCGTGTTGGCCTTGGCCTTAGATGTGAGCAAGTCGGCATCTCGCCCTCCTTTCCTGAACCACTTCCTCCTTGACCTTCTTGTCACTTTCTGCTGTTATTTTCACTCTTCCATGAGACAGAAAGGTATCTCCAACAGAGTCCTCACACCACGATCCACTTCCAGCCTGGGCCGGCCTGGGTCATGGGCGTGTGTGTGTATGTGCACGTGCACACACATGTGACCAGTGTGTACAGTAAGACCTCAAGACTCAAACCTGGAACCTTCCAGTGTGGGTTCAGAATCGGAGAACACAGAGTTACTGCTGGAACCCCCACGGGCCCTTTGCTTTCTTCCTCTGAGTTCCTCTACTAAGCAGTGCTGACCTGCATGCAAAAGAGCACGATCCAGGGGGATCTTCTGAAGGCACAGCAGATGAGCATTTAAGTCCATCTGAGGGAGGTGTGTGTGTGTGTGTGCGCATGTGTGTGTGCATGTGTGTGTGTGTAGAAAGAGAGGCCAGACTGTGGCACGTGCCCATGATCTGAGGCCACCTGGAGCTAGAGATTGCAGCATCAGGACTTTTCGGGGGGTGCCATCCCTCTCTCTCTCTCTCTCTCTCTCTCTCTCTCTCTCTTTCTGTTGCCTATGGAAATAACTAAGAAAAAGAAGAAAAAAAATGGATGATATAAGCATTAACCCTTAAGGAGTCTAAGTGAGGAGTATATAGGTATTCTTATACTGTTTTTGCAACTTTACTGTAAGTCTGAAACTGTCAACACGAAAGTTTAAAAAAAAAAAAAAAATCTCTATCCAGGACATACGTCAGACCAGGGCTATGGGAGAAAGGTAGGAATCGCCCTCTGGCTGGGAAGTGGCAGGACTAAAGGTAGCTGCGAACCAGTATTTAAAAGCTTCCTAAGGATAAGGATAAAAGCCTTCCTCCTCCCTGCCTTCCAGAGGTTTCTTCCACATCTCCCAACAAACTCTCCACTCAGTCCCCCTCTTGGTAGCTCTAAACAGCTCCTAAGCACTTTCTCCAGTGGGAGGAGCGTTCTCAGCTCATCCACAGTGGATGGTCACCTCCATCCCTTAGTTCTTCAGACCAGATGGTCTTGGGACCACCCCTTCCTGTACCTTCCACCAGGGTCTTATTTTGGGACACGTGAAGATTGCTGCTGTGGGTTCTGACCTCCAGAGCACCATATCTGACCCCTGGGTCACAGCACAGAATGCCCCATGACCCCCTTGTTCCCTCCTAGGACATCACCCCCCTGCAGGTGGTCCTGCCCAATACCGCGCTCCATCTGAAGGCACTGCTGGACTTTGAGGATAAGAACGGGGATAAGGTGGTGGCAGGAGATGAGTGGCTGTTTGAAGGACCTGGTGAGTTCTGTCTCCCTCAGGCCCGAGGTGTGTCAGGAGCTTTCTACCTTTCCCCCATAGCCCTGACGTTCTGGCCTTTTAACCTCCACATGGTCTTCCCTTGTCAGGCACGTACATCCCCCGGAAGGAGGTGGAGGTCGTGGAGATCATTCAGGCCACGATCATCAGGCAGAACCAGGCCCTGCGACTGAGGGCCCGCAAGGAGTGCTGGGACCGGGATGGCAAGGAGAGGGTGACAGGTGGGGTCCTAAGGGTCACTGGGGGTGGCTGGGCGGGCAGGAGGGTATAGAATGCCGGAAAAGCTGGGGGAGGGAAGCCCCAGGGGAGGCGCTGAGCCGGTGTCTCTTGGAGCTGCAGAGGCTCCTGCTCCACCTAACGCCAGCTCTAGCTTGGTTCCAGCCCTTCACCCAGAGCTGTGGGCAGCAGCCATGTCGTATCTGGTTCTGGATATTTGGATACGGTGAACCAGTACAGTGTTCACTCGATGCCAGGCAGGGTTCAAAAGCTGAACGAATGGTAACTTGTTTAGATCCCAGACCTCGAGGCTTCCATGCGACAAAACCGAGGTCCTGAAGTTAGATTGCTTGCTCTGGGTGTGTGGCCTGGCAGGGCAAAGCCTGGACGTGTGCCCCGGTACCCCAGCTTCTCCAAAACCTCAATGACATGTACAGCGCTGAGAGGTGTTTCTGCTGCCCATTTTAAAGGAAGGAAGAACGTTGGTGTTCAGAGAAGCAGGGTGTTGGCACAAAAGCCACTTGGGCAAATTAGCGGGGCTCTCCTGTCCTGGGGGTGTAGGGGAGAGGGGTTAATGTTCCTCTGGCCTCAAAGAAAGGAATGCTTACAAAAACACCCGTCAGCCCTCTTCACCTAAAAGTCCTGCTGGTCCCCTGATATCTTGGGAGGGGCCGGTGGGGAGAAGGCTGGGTGACCTTTGGCCTTTACCTCTCCACCTGTGTATTAGGAGAAGAATGGCTGGTCCGCTCGGTGGGTGCGTATCTCCCAGCAGTGTTTGAAGAGGTTCTGGATTTGGTGGACGCTGTGATCCTTACGGAAAAGGTTTGTGCTCCGGGAGTGTGGGTTAAGGGACTCTGGGTCACTCCGAGTGGCAGATAATGTTGAGAGTTGAGAAGAAGCACTGGGGGCTAGCAAGTGGTGTAATGGTTCAGGCACTGGACTCCCATATTGCCAATCGCGGGGCAGGTCCCAGACCTGGTGGCTTGCTTTCTCTCTCTCTCTCTTGATTGCACATAGAAAATTTAAAAATAATAATAAATAAAATTAAATAAATCTTTTTTAAAAAGCACTGTTTGTCACACACACACACACACACACACACACACACGCGCGCGCGCACTTCAGGTTAGATCACCTGAGAGCTATTCCAGCTCATTTGGAAGGGTAAAAAAGTCCTCCTGGGTTGGTAGAAATTGTCACTCTGAGCAGGGAGGTATAGTGGCCAGTGGGGTTCCCAGATCCCCTGAAGAAGCTGGAGGTGACCTTTCTCACATACCCCAACATCTTCTACAGACAGCCCTGCACCTCCGGGCTCGGCAGAACTTCCGAGACCTGAGGGGAGTGGCTCGCCGCACTGGGGAAGAATGGCTGGTGACCGTGCAGGACACGGAGGCCCACGTGCCTGACGTCCATGAGGAGGTGCTAGGGGTTGTACCCATCACCACCCTGGGCCCCCGCAACTACTGTGTGATTCTCGACCCAGTCGGCCCGGATGGCAAGAACCAGCTGGGGCAAAAGCGTGTGGTCAAGGTAAGCCCCCCTCATCCCCGCAGTCTTTGTGGGAGGGAGACTGCCCTGGCCTCCAAGAGACCCTCTGACCTCCCTGCCGCCTCTCCTTCCATGCCAGACGCACGTTCTAGAAACACCTTTACGCCTGCGTGCTTAGTTCTGTGTGCTGAAACACTGTCAGTGGGCTTCCCGGACAGCCTGATTTATTCCTCAGACCTTCAGTTACATGCTCTTCTGGAAAAGCCTCCTGTCCCTCCCTCCTCCCAGTGCCCAAAGAACTTGAAACTCTTCTCTTTCACATCTCTGTTCAGAGCCTTTGTCATCCTGCATAAAACGAATCTCCTGGTTTACCCCTCTCTCCACCTCCTACCTCGTCCCCTCTTGAACTATACGTGGGAATACCAGGGACTGGCACGCCCTTTTTGTGAAGGGCTGGATAGTAGGTATTTTGGGTTTTGTGAGCCATATGGTTTCTGTTGAAACTATGCAGCTCTGCCGTTGTGTTGTAAAAGCAGCTTAGACCATATGTAAACAAATGAGTACCATGTTCCTGTAATATTTTATTTGCAAAAACAAGAGGCAGAAAAGTGGAAACAACCCAAATGGCCATCAATTGCTGAATGGATTAAAAATTGTGGCATATCTATACAATGAACTATGATGCCGCTATAGAAAAAAAACGCAATATGGGTTCCAGCAGGTGACACGGTGGTTAAGCAGCTGGACTCCCACATGGCAAATCGTGGTTCAAGTCCTGGACCCAGTAGCTTGAAAATCATGCCAAGCACATGTGTATGTACACCCAAGGTCCCAGAAGAAGAATGGAGAAGGGATTGCGGCATGACTATCCCTCCTGGGGGTGATTTCTCACTTTCCCTCTCACTGCCTCTCTGTTGAGCGGCATGTGCCCTATAGCAAAAACTGGACGAAGGAAAAAGAAAAAAGAGAGAAAGAGGGCATGCGTCGCCAGTAGGGTCCCAACGCTGCAGTCCACCTCCAGCCCTTAGGCAGCCTGGGTCATGGGCACGTGATGTGTACCTGGGCTACTTGGAGAGGTCTCCAGCCTTTGTGTTCGGTTTTTTTTTTTTTTTGGAGAGATTTTTGCTATAGGGCGCGTGTGCTTGCCAGACAGACAGACAGAGACAGAGAGACAGCAAGCGAGAAATCACCCCCAGGGGGGATGGCCACGCCGCACTCC